ATAAGAATTTTATTAATTATATATTTAAGGTATAAGAGTAATACATCAGGACTTTATCATTTAAATTTATAATGCTCTTTTGAGAAATTAGAAATCGATTATTTACTAGTTGATTCAGTTGACATGATTACACATAATAATCATAATATAATATTGTATAAACAACAAAAAAACTTACGATAACGGCCCAATAACTAGTACACCAAATTTGTATGTTATAGAAAAAAATTAAATACAAATTTACAAAAGAGGAAAAATCAAGAGAAGCAAAAACAAATTTTAGGACAGAAATTCTGTAGGTTGTCGTTTATTTTGCAATATTTTGCTTGAATTTAATAGCATCACTTGTATTTAAAGCTTTGAATTACTGAACATGTTTGGGGACTAAAATATTATTTTAATAAATATACTGCTGAAACCAGAAGTTTGCATACACTGTATAAAAAGGCACATAAACAATTATAAAAAGTCAGATGTTAATGTGACTAAACCTTTTCTCTTTTAGGTAAGTTAGGATAATCAAATTTGTTTCTGTTATGCTTAATAGCAGAATAATGAGAGAGATATTTTTTGAGAATACACAACTGTAGAATAGTATTTAAAGAAAACCTCAAACACACTGCTTCCTTGTGTGATAACATGGGAAAATCAACAAGCCAGAATCAACAAAAAAGCCAGAGTACAATTTGCATAATTACACTGAGAAAAAGAGTAATTTCTGGAGACATGTCCTGTGGTCTGATGGAACTAAGATTGAATTGTTTTGCCATAATGACCAGCGTTACATTTGGAGAACAAAGGGAAAGCTTTTAAGCCTAGGAACACCATCCCAACTGTGAAATATGGGGGAGGCAGCAACATGATGTGGGGCTGTTTTGCTGCAAGAGGAACTTGTCCACTCACAGCATAGATGGCGTTATGAAGAAAGAACATTATGTAGAAATACTGAAGCAACATCTTAAGACATCAGCCAGGAAAGTAAAACTTGGCCACAAATGGGTCTTACAAACAAACTTTGACCCTAAGCATACTGCCAAATAAGTTAAAATGTGCTTTAAGGACACAGAGTGAATGTTTTGGAGTGGCCATCACAAAGCCCTGAGCTCAATCCTATAGACAATTTGTGGGCAAAGTTGAAAAAGCTAAAAAAAATTCTCTAATTATTCTGGCATTTAGCAACTGTAAATCATTAAGGTAATCCTAACGGACCTATAATACTAACGCTCCATTCACACGGGGCGTCAACGCTTCCCATTAACTTTGAATGGGTGACGTCAGGCATTGCCCAACTGCATTGTGGATATGTCAGCGTCGTTTCAGAGGCATTGTTCGCTGCAGAAGTTGGGACTAGCTCAACTTTTTAAACGCCAACGGAAGCGTCAGCCAATCAGATCGCTGTATGCAAATACACCAGCTAGACAGTGGTCTATTGCTGACTGAATTTCATTGGCTGACGCTGCTACGACGATCGCTTCAGCCCCAACTTCAGACACGCCTTAAGTCAAGCGTTGACGCTGAAGCCCTGTGTGAATGGGGCGTAAACGTTTAGTTTGATTTTCTATCAGACATTTTTTAAAAATAGTTATGTTCATTTTTTTAGAGTGTATGTAAACTTCTGGTTTCAACCGTATCTGTTTAATACATCTGTTTTGTTTAAATGCATCAAAATACATTGCCTATATTCACTGAGAAAATAAAAATATTCATTTTTAAAAAGGGATCGACTTAATTATTATACATGTATTTATGTCTGATAATAATTTTCTTCTGGAAAAAGTCTTATTTGTTTTATTTTTGCTAGAATAAAAGCAGTTTTTTCATTTTTTTAAAAACCATTTTAAGGTAAAAATGATTAGCCCCTTTAAGCAATTTTTCGATAGTCTACAGAACAAACCATCATTATACAATAACTTGCATAATTACCCTAACCTGCCTAGTTAACCTAACTAACCTAGTTAAGCCTTTAAATGTCACTTTAAGCTGTATAAAAGTGTCTTGAAAAATATCTAGTCAAATATTATTTACTGTCATCATGGCAAAGATAAAATAAACCAGTAATTAGAAATGAGTTATTAAAACTAATAAGTTTTGAAATGTGCTGTTAAACAGAAATTGAGAAAAAAATAAACATGGGGGCAAATAATTCAGTGGGGCTAATAATTCTGACTTCAACTGTACATCTTTACTACACTATGGTTCAAAAACACTGTAGTTTGGGCTATAAATTACTATAGTATTTTTTCATGTGGGATGATAACCCCTAATACACTTTTTTACTATAGTATGGTTCAAAAACACTATGGACTTTCCCCCATTTGTATTCCCCCGTATTCCCCCATATGTTTTATACAGCAGATGCTCTTCCAGCCTCAGCCCAGTACTGAAAAACACCCATACATATTCATTCAAACACGCACTCATACACTATGGTCAATTTAACTTATTCAATTCACCTATACCACATGTCTTTGGACTGTGGGGGAAACCGAAGCACCCGGAGGAAACCCATGCCAACACAGGCAGAACATGCAAATTCCACACAAAAACGCCACCTGGTCCAAACGAGGGTCGAACCAGCGATTTTCTTTGGTGTGAGGCGTTTGTGCTACCCACACGACCTTCTTGCGTTGAGGTGACAGTGCTAACCACTAAGCCACCGTACTGCCAAATATGTGTATTTTATAAAATATTACATTGACACACAACAGAGATTTTTGGTGTACCTCATCATCATTATTAACTAACAAATAAAACAGTTTACTGTATTACTAACACTTGTGTAAGGTTAATAAATATTATTTGTAGTAGTATTAGTGGAGTTTTATTAGTATATAATATTTCGTATTATTAAATATTTTAAAACATTGTAAAAAAGGACAATATATTTTTTCTTTATTGTTAAGATTCATGCATTTATTCAATATATAGTTATTGTTATTAAATACATGTATACATTATGCATACAGGGTGGGCCATTTATATGGATGCACCTTAATAAAATGGGAATGGTTGGTGACATTAACGTCCTGTTTGTGGCACAGGGGGCTTGTAAATAACTCACGAAAGAATAAAGTTACGTTTAAAAGCAAGCACACCGTGTTTTTTCTTTTAAAATTCCCAATAAGCTAATTAAGGTGTATCCATATCCATACCCAGTAATGATACGTTTGTTGTTGATGATAACATTATGACGACAGTGATGATGAAAATTTGTAGAAATAAGAATATTTCATAACATTTACCCCTGACGGAGCTTTCACAACATCTTAGTCATAATCGTGGATTACTGAATAGACACTGCTCTCTGCTGGTACTTTTGAGAACAACATCTAGAATTTGACTTCACAATAAGCACTTCACAATAAGATTCATCAGTTAACGTTAGTTCATGCATAGTTAACATAAATGAATAGGGAACTATTTGTTATCCATTATCTAATTTTTGTTGATATTAACTAAGCATATTTATGTTAGTCGATGCATTAGTTAACATGAACACTAACTCTGTTTAGCATAACATACATAATCTTTGTTAATTTGTGTTTTAATGCATCTCTTTACATTAAGTGTTTAATAAATGTTTACCTACACACATACACTATTTGGTGATGGATTAGATGACATAACCTAAAAATTAACAACTTTTATTCAGCAATACTAAATCGTTATTTATGTAAACTTACAAATATAATAATATGTTAATTCATAAGTTATCATTAATGCATCATTAAATATTTTCAAATAATGAACAATGACTCACACTGTAAACAATGTTGGGTTCCACACAAATCCTTTAACCTGTCCCAAAACAAAACCTAAAAAAATAAAATAAAACAGCTAGTTAAATTATATTCACGAATTTAAGTGGATTTAACAATGAGTTGTATCCATAATTTCATGGGCGTCATGGTGGCACAGTGGGTAGCACAATCACCTCACAGCAAGAAGGTAGCTGGTTCGAGCCCCAGCCGGGTCAATGTGGCGTGTATGTCTAAATGAGCATTAGTTACATTATATGTAAAGAAATGTAGGTATCACTTTATTTTGCCTGTCCCTTTAGTGCATTTTGTTGAATTTAAGTTCCATTGCATCTACATGCCAACTATTTCTCATTAGAATATAAGTAGACTGTTAGGTTGAGATAAGGCTTAGTGTAAACTGATGTGTACTTGCAAAGTTTCTTATAGTCAGTTAAATGTCTGTTGAAGGAGCAGTATCAACAGATATTAAGCAGATTGTCTACTAATACTTAAATGAGAATTAATTGGAATGTAGTTACAATGCAACGTTTAGTCAACAAAATGTGCAACAGGGACAATCAGTCATTACGGAAATGCATTAGAATACAAGTTAATATTAACAGCAAAGCCATTGTTGATTGTTAATGGATGTCAAAAAATGCCCTAACAAACACAATAATATATGTTGTTCAGCTAATATTAACAAAGATTATTAATGCTTAACAGATGTGTTGTTGTTCATCATCATTAATTCATGTTAATGAATGCATTATCTAACGTTGACTAATGCAAGCCTATTGTAAAATAGAAACCTTATTGTAAACAATGTTTTATAATAGAGTATTTAAAACACAGTAAGTTGTAGAATTAATATTATTTCTGTTATTTCAATTTTTGCATATTTTAGGTTAATAAAACATTTAAATTTCACTCATTAAGTTGACCAAGCTTCTTTTCAAAAGATTTTTTATTATTTTCATTAAGATAAATGAACAGCAAGAAGGAACCAAAAAGGACCACGACAAACAACAAATATTTATGCAAATATTTAAGTCGAAAAATCATCTGAAGAATGTTTAAATTTAAACATGCTGTAATTTCATATATTTAATATAAAATATTTTTGACAAAGACTGAAAACATTCTGTATGTGGCCAAGAGTCACATTCTTTTACCGTTTTTGGCAAACACACAATAATACCACACTTCATGATTGTAAATCACAACCAGTATATGAAAAGTAATGCAAGTGCCATTCGATATATATATATATATAAAAAAGATACTGATGCCTGAATAATAGACAGCTGTAAAAGGTAAAGAAACTATGATCGTGGTACTAAATGCAATTTATTAATGCCCGTATAGAATTTAGAACATGTTCATATAGTTTGACGCAATACAGTACACATCTAAATACATTTATATATTCAGAAATTCATAAGAAAATACTGTACAAAAACGAGAATAACTTTGTAAAAACATTTAATATGACAATATAACCTTATTGTATCTCATATCATTTGGTCTGTATTCAAGAGTGATAGACATAAAATACATCATACATCTACATTCATTTCATAACTGACCACCAAAAGGCAACATATCAGCTTCAATATACTCTACTGTACAGCAGGTTTCTTCTTTGTGTTTGCAATAAGGGCATTGAGACCTTGTTCAGCGAGCTTTACTTCGATCACAGTTTAAACTCATAGAGTATGTTGTTATAAAGAATCAATAACGTTATTTGTGAAATATGATGGAAATAGTATAGTAGCAGCCACTAATAAATTTAGCTTCTAACACATTTACATTAAAAATGGAAAGAGGGGCGTTTTAACCAAATAATTTACCTTTCAAATTCTGTTAAATGAAAGTCATTTTAACTTTTTAGAAAGTAACTAGGCTGACTTTGGGCTTTTCACACGGCGCTCGACCTGGATAACGTCGTTCTAAACTTACTTTTAACCCAGAGTAAATATTTTTCACTTATAACCAGGTTGTGCACCATGTTTACCCGAGCTTACAAAACTTAAAACGGAGCATAGCTTGCACTGCTTTTAAGGGTATGTCGGAGGCAAACGTACATTGTGTGAAACTAACTTCATCAATGTTAAAATGGATATTTTGCATCATATTCACGTGCTTTTGACAGTCACGTAAACACCGTACGTAATAACCATAAACAGTTTAAGCATTTGAGGTCACTTTTTTTTTAAATTGTCAAATTGTACCAGACAAGTAAAGCTTGCTTCGCTCCAAACTTTACAGTCCAAAAAAATTGTTCAGATTTAGCTATTGACAATATTATTACGCACCAGGCCTACACTTCACTAGCAGGACATGTGCGCACCTTCATCTAATCAAAGACACAGTCAATATTCAAATGAAGAAGTTGACGTGAGGTTTTGAAATTTACCATGTGAAATAATTTCAGGGTTAATTATAATCTCTTAAATTAGTGATAGGCTAATTAATTAATTGATGATTGGTGTGAAACATGGATCAAAATAAACCAGAATTCTGTTCACTCAAGGTTTAGAATGACCCAGGTTTAAATAGTTCTCGTGTGAAAAGCCTACATGTGGCACAGATTAACACAGACTGGCATACTTAATTTAACACGCTTTGGAAGAGTGCATTAGTTCCCATCCACCTTTTTCAGCAGCACTGGTTCTGGAAGTATTTTTCCCATCAGGATTTTTTCACATTAATGGTTAAAGCTTTGTTAAAGCATATACAAGTCAGGCACCAAACAAATCACCTTTGAGGTACTACAATCCCATAAGGCACAGGTGTCAAACTTTCAGAAAGGCTGCAGCTCTGCACAGTTTAGTTACAATCCTAATTAAACACAACTGATCAAACAAATTGAGTCCTTCAGGCTTGTTTGGAACCTAAGTGTGCTAGGTAAGGTAAGTGTGTTGGAACTGATCTATGCAGGGCTGCAGCCCTCTAGGAACTGAGCTGGACACCCCTGCCATAAGGCATGGCGAATTGCAATCAAAGACAATGAAGAAATATTGAATATTTGTTTTGGGAATGGGAAGGTTGGTACTGTAAGGTTAATATATAATAAATTAACAATCCACAAAATGAACATATTTCCCAGTACTGGATTGCAGCTGGAAGGGCATCTGCTGTGTAAAACATATGATGGATGAGTTGGTGGTTCATTCCACTGTGGCAATAAAGGAGCTAAACTGAAGGAAAATAAATAAAAATAAAATGGTAGCCTCTTGTGGGTATCTGCTGCACAAACATAAATAAAACTGTGATATAAAACTCTCAGGCCTGGTCCTTTATCTTTTTTTTCATTGCCACCACTCCTCATTTTATCCTTTCGGAACTCCTCCATGGGACTTGGGGTGTGCGTTGCGTACAAACGCAATCTCACTGCAATTTGTAACATTTTACTTTACTGGCTAATTTGTATTAAAAACACCTTTTAAAAATCGTACATTTTATTACAAATGAAATAACATAAATTAGCCCTTTTACTGACATTACGTAAAAAAGTTACATTTCCTGGTGAGATTGGGCTGGATGCACATGTACATGTGTTGCTAAATCTGCATTCATCTCTATTAATATTTAATTGTTTTTAAGAGTGTATAGACACTGACAATTGCACTATTCGTGGTGACTCATAGATGTGGGCGGAGCTAAAGATATCATTGGACAAGTTTCATTTATCAGCTTTGCTATCGGTATTTCACATACCGATATTTTTTATGAGTGTGGGTTCATTCATTCATTTTCTTTTCAGCTTATTCCTTTTATTAATCTGGGGTCACCACAGTGGAATGAATCACCAGTGTGGGTGCAACTGAAACATAAATTAGTTTCATTTCAGCCAAAGGGGACCACAAAAATTCAATTTAAGATCCCTCAAACGTTGTCAACCAAGATGGACCAGACAACAAATGGGACAAACGCTGACGGCTACTTTTAGTTTAGAACTGAATAGGATTTACTGTAGATGAGTTATTTTACTCAGACCAAAAAATCCTGTTGGTCATTATGAATCTCTGATTGGTACAGTATGATGTTTGTACAGCATCATGGGTAATAATGTAGTTTATCTGCATGAATTCCTGAATGGGATAAGAAGGCCATGGCCATGGTGCTCCACTGGAAAAAGGTGGTTTGCCATCTCCAGGTTGGAGTAAAGTCCTTACCCCTAGTGGAGGATTTCAAGTAACTTGGAGTTTTGTTTACGAGTGAGGAAAGGATGGAACATGAGATTGACAGACTGATTGCTGCAACGGCAGCAGTAATGCAGTCAATGTACCTGTCTGTTGTGGTACAGAAGGAGCTGAGACTAAAGGCAAAGCTCTAGATTTACCGGTCCATCTATGTTCCTACTCTCATCTATGGTCATGACCGAAAGAACAAGATCTCAGATACAAGCAGTTGAAATGAGTTTAATTTAAGGGGTGACACAGCGCACCCTTATAGGGCGCTCTGTCACCCGGGAGGAGCTCTGGGGGAAGACCAAGGACACGCTAGAAAGGACTATGTCTCTCAGCTGGCCTGCATGGAACACCTCGGGATCTCCCCGAAAAAGCTGAAGGACGTGTCTGGGGAGAGGGAAGTTTGCATGAATTCCATCATTAACAATAATCGTTTTACTAAAGGACTGAATGTGTAACCAATGGATCCAACAAAAGCATATCAATTAACAACCTCACCACTCATTAGAGGTCTGTTTTATAAAATCAATTTCCCATTGAAATAAATGAACTGGGTTTTTACTTCCAGAACCAGTTGCACTCAATATTAGCAACTTCATTACCTGCTTCCTAAAACAAACACATATATTAGTATAATTGAGTTATTTTATGAACTCTCATTCTTGCTACATTCTGTTCTGTCTGTGAGAATGATGTCTTCATGAAGACACAAAACCTAAAACGCCTGAGGAATCTATGCACATGTACCTCTCTCTTACACAGCACAATGAGTGTGAGCCTGCAGAGCTCGGATCTGACTGCTAAAGTACAACAAAATCAAGGCAAACGTTTGTGGACAAATGCTACAACACTAAAACAATAAGTAACATGATCGGCAAACAATGATGGCTTTGTTTGCACTAACAAATAGAGAAAGAGAATGGCTAGATCTCTATAAGATGTATAAAATAACCACGCAATGAAACGTTTCTGCCTTCTAAGGTGCCAAGAACAGACTGAGGTGAGGGCTGGCTGGAAAACTGGCCCAGCGGACCTGCAACCCAAGAATATTGTCCTTCGAATTGGAAGGGCACTGGGTAAGGGGAACTTCAGAGCACCGTGAAGGCCTCACAGGGGCCCGTGCTGAGCTTCATACTTGGTTAAGATGTTTTTGCACCGCCCCAGCTCTTTCCGTAGGTCAGCGACTTCCTGACGGAGGGCCATGTTCTCTTTCTCCAGGAAACCAGCCCGGATGGCAATCTGATTTTCCTTCAGACGCCGAGCATCTCGTGATCTCTTGGCAGCCACGTTGTTCTTCCTGCGCCGTGCCCAGTATTTTTCATCCTGCTCAAAATATGCAGAATAAAAAGGGTGGGGAAGAGATGGGAGCGCCCAGTTACATTATTGTGCGATTAGTATCATTTACTGTTTTTTAATGGATATGGTAACCCTATAAATCCTTATGAATCATAGCTACTACAAAGCCGCTCAATCATTAGGGTTTACATTTTATGAAATAAATGTTTTACTGAACTGTCAAGTTGATTTAGTGCTGAATTAATTTCTACACTGTAAAAATTATATTCAATTAGTCATGACAGGATATGTTTTTAAATCATTGTAACATATTAAACTAGGTTAATCATGTTCTAAGATAATTTTATAAGTTATGCAAAAGCTGTTTTAAGTCCGTTTAACATAATATAAGTACAATGGACTCATACGGTTAATTTGATTCAGATGAAAAATTTAGGGCAATCAGGTTTTTTTTACAGTGTAGGGGTATTTTCTTACTCATATTAGGGCAGTTATTATGTTTAGCCATTTTATCTGTGTTTTCTTGTATGTCTTGTATGAAAATGTTTTCATAATGACAGCTAAATACAGCTTTTTTCAAAAACAGCACTTTATAAAAAAATTGTATTCATCTCTGGATTAAAAATTTACAATTGTTAATAAATAATAGGCCTACGTGTTCAAGTAAAACGATGCTATAGTTTTGTTCTGCAAATTACTGATAACATAGATTTTATTACATAAAAACGCCATATTTTCAGATACAAACTCCTAGCCAGAGGAGGGTTCGGGTGGTTCATAAGACGCAGAATTTGTCCCTGCATGAGCTCAATCGTCCTATTTTGACTGCTATGCCATCATAAATTGTGTAAAAAATAACAACAAATAAAAAAATGTAAGTACTGTATTGTGGTTAAATAGAGAAAAGTTTTTACAAGTAACTTTTATTCTAACTCTTGGACCTTGGAGAAAAAATTACCAATAAAAAGTAAATTTTGAAGCATATAAAAGTAAATTGTATTAGTAATTAGGCTATTGTATCCATGAAATTTCCATCTCTTTTACATGAGAGGCTAAAAAAATTGGGAAGCTCTACATTAATATTATTGTTATTATTATTATTATTATTATTATCATGCATATTTTTTGTTGTTTTTCAAGTGGCCAAATTCTGACTGAGGAAAGTTGAATGTGCTGGCCAGTTTGTTAATTGCTTAATAAATGACAATACTTTGACGTTTTTAATTTAAAACTTTAACAGATTTGTCTTTTCATCGTATTTGATAAAAATAATATATATAAATAAGTTTTTTTTTTCCATATTCCTTTATTCTAAATCTTTAGAAAATGCTTTGGTAGATCAAAAAGTGTGGTTATGACCACCTGACAAGCTAATCCAGAAATAAATAGTGCTTCACCAGCATGGACCACACCACACTTTGAGCTAGACTTTATTGGGATGTAGGGATAAAGAGATGGTAAAAGAACAGTGGGATGAAGGGGATGGGAAGTTTCAGGATAAACAGTGAACAGATAGGTAGGTTGATCGGGCATCCTACGTTTATGAGACTCAAGAGTGGGGGTATACTGTAATATTTTTTGTAGAGTGATTGGGCCCCCCGATTTGACATAGGAGTAAAGAGAGGGTGATATGACTGTGAATGGGAAGCAAGAAAATGGAGGGAGGGTGGGTTCAAGAGAACAGGAGAACTAAAGGGCTGGTCTTAAATAAGTTTTAGGAAGTAGGTAATTGCTTAAGGAGACAAAGTGAAGTGTGGTTCTGCCGCTGAATCTTTGTTTACAGGTTAACTCCATTTAAAAAGCCACTTAAATGCACTATAACCATTTAAACCATAAATACTTTGTAGTTAAATAGAAAATGAGGCAACTATCTGTAAAAATGGTACACTTTTTGAGAAAATATAACCACCCCTTTCACCAGGCTGGCAATAGCCCTGATATGTTAATATTCATTAGACAACACAATTCCCGTGTTTACCAAAGAGGAGAGAAATCAATAAATGAAATCCTATTTACTATTTCGTCAAATGCATGATTCCTTTCTTTGTATTTATTCATTCATACTAATAATTTAATTTATCAGGATTTGCAGAGTTAATAGTTTCGACCCAGTAGCCTACAATTAAATCATTTAAAAGGAACCGATGATTGTGACAAATTACTCCACACTTCAGCTATTATTTATGACTGACAGGCAAGCACGAGAGAAAACAGATCTTTATCGTGACAAGTTTTCTCACGCATTCGCTGGCGTGCAATCAGCTTGGAGCAATTTACTATTGCGCAAAGCTCAAGAGGGATCCACTTTTATTCGAACAAATTAAAAAAGACAAATCCTTTAATCCTAAACCCGGCAGAACTGGAGCGCTACCAGGAAAAAAAGGGTGATCACGTGGTTCTGGCGGCCGGAGCGGAGGATGAATGAACGGACATAAGCTTCTTAAACTGCTGGCCAGCTGGTCAATGGCGAGGGGTGAAAAGAGTCACCAAACATACACTTTTATGGGCTGAATAGTTACCTTCAAATCATCAGGAATGAAGATTTTGCGTGCTTTTTTGATCATAGGCTGAGGTTTCAACTCTTCTTCGGAGAATTTGCGCTTCCGTGGATCGAAAACCTCCTGTCCAGGGACGCTGGAGAGAGCGAGATCTGCCGGGTCGGGCTCGTAGCTCACCGGAATATGAAGGGCCTCCGGGTCGACTGGACTCGGTGTGTTACGGGATGGAGGCAAAACTGTCAGGAGAAAAGAAATCTATTCATTGTTGACTCCATGCAGATCTTGCATGTTAAAGGGTGTTGGGAGCATTTCAATCCACTAGGTGGCGCAGCAGACATTAATATAAGCGAAGTATAAATAGGTACCTTCAGCACATTTTTTATACATTTATATTTCTGTGTATGCATTTTACTGCTATGTTGTTCAAAAAATTGTATTATGAATGCATTTAAAATGTTTAATCTATTTTAGCTAATAATAAAATAAAAAGTGAATTAATTTAAATTAATAATTTAAATCAATCACTTGATTCAATTTATTTTTTTGTGCTCATAATTTGTTTTTATTTGTCTTTGAACAACTTTTTACCTTTACTTTTGTAACTTTAAAAGATACATGTGTAAATTATTTTAGTATCAGCTGAAAATCTCCAGAATATCTCACTTTATGTGTGTATGTATGTATGTATGTATGTATGTATGTATGTATGTATCTATGTATATATCTATCTATGTAGTATTATTATGATAAAAACATTTAATGTGGCATCAGTCAAAATAAAATGCTTAAATCACCCTGTGTCCATTTTAGCAGAATTAATCAATATATTCAAGTTTTAATTAAGTTTTTTTTTTTACATTTTAATTACTTTCAGCATTATTATATTTAATTTAAGTATTTAATATGATAAATTGTTAAATATATATGATGACAATTATAATCATATTACAATGGTAATTGCTTTTTTAAATAAAATGTATACATTATTTTTTAAATGCATATTTTCAAGCTCTAACTAAACAAGATTTTCCTCTTACTAAACCCAAACTTATACAACAACGTAGTTTACTTTATTTCCTCATTAGATGCAAAAATCCTCATACTAGAATAGAAGTCATTGCCATTTTTCACATTTTTTCCCCAAAAATGCTTGTTTTTGTTGTTCTGCATTGACCTTTTCTTTTTTTTTTACCATCATAAAGTCTTGCTTGTCAACAGGATTTAACAGTGTATATTTTTACGATCTGTATCTTATCTAATTCATTTCTGCCTCTTGACATTCTCAGACTGGCTTACAAATAACTTGTTTTGAATATAACAATCTATACAGTCCAAAAACAAACACACTTTGAGACTAAAATGAATACTCTGTCTCCCATTTTCCACCCACACATGGTCATATTTAGTGCCATCTGGTTTGGCTGAACATGGCCTTTAAATCTTTTGAGCAGAATGGACAAAACCAGGGTCTAGAAGTGACATTATACCTGATCTGCCAGGGCTGTGGAGGCAGTTTTGAGGAGAAATGGCTGTGTGGATGGAGCGACTACTGAGGTCCATGACTGAGATAGGCCCCTGGGGCATTGAAACCTGTTGCTGCTGTTGTTGGTGCTGCTGCTGCTGCTGCTGCTGGTGATGATGTTGATGGAGGTTTTGGTCATGTTGTGCAGGACTGGAGGGGATGCCGTTTTCAGAGAGAAATTCTTCAAGGTCCATATACTCCAACTGAAAGCTGTCTCCATCGTAAGACAATGTTTTATCCCAAAGTGTTGGCCCTAAGAAAGCAGACTGCGGAGGGTTTCCCTCTTCGTCCAGCTTTTTAACCTTGTCTCTCTCCTTTCCATAGCCTGAAAGAATAGTTATATGTCAAATCTTTTACATCAAGAATAGTTAAAATGAATTTAATAATGTACATACAGTAATTAAGGTGATTTTTAGCTGCAATGCACACTAAAGATAAATATGAAAAAATGTACACTCTTTGCAATAATTTAACAGAGACATTTCTACATTTTAGGACAACTAAGATGGATTTGAAAAATGATTTATTAAAGTTTTAAGATAATTAAAGTGTTTATACTTCTATTACAGTTTATAGTAGTAGTTGAAGCATTGCACTGTAAAAAAGATTTCTCAAATAATAATATTAATATTAGTTTCTCATTTTATTTGCCGTTTCAGCATTGCATAGTAAAAAAGTTACATTTAAACTTTAATATAATGATTTCTGATGCTCTACTTTTCATTTTACTTTTTCATTTTTATAATTTTAGCCCAGTTGAAAGGAATTTAAATGTACTTTATTACATTTTCCATAATTGTGGTTTTCATTTAGAATTTTTGTGCGTAGCTGCAATCTTAAGAATGCACTACAAAAATAATACTTTTATAAGGATCTTATTTCCTTTTTCAAAATTAATTTATTCGTAATGTATAGCCAAAATGCATTTAAAATCCTGTACAGCATTTTGCATGCATGCTTTAACGTGGTTCAACTTTAGTGTTGCAGCTTCTACAATCTCAGCAATGTACAGTAAAAAACAATTGACAGATCAGATAAAAGGATACGATTTTTTTTGTCGTTTTTCTTATTTTAAGGTTTTTCGTTTCAACAAATTTCTTCAAACTCACAAGTTCCTCAAACACAAAGCTTAATTCTTCAAAATTTGTTACAGTTTATTATTTATATAGAAAACTAATATAAACATAATAAAAACAAAAAAACATCCTGTTATTAATATTATTAAAAACATCATTATTATTAAATATAATATTAATAATATTAATAATAATAATAATGAATGTAATCTCAGCTGTTATGAATCTACGCTTAGTTTACAAACTAATGGAAGAGACACTTTAATGGCAAACATCAGGCATAAAAATAGTCAAACGAATCTAAGACAGCATAGACAAGCACTTTAACACTGAATATCACATCTAAAACTAAATGACAAGTCCTAACAGCAAAACTAACCAACATTTTAATCTTCAATGTAACAAAGATAAAGTTTTATTCACCTTCATCTTGGTGCAAAGGCAGTTTCAGAGGTTTTTCCAGGAGCGCCTTCAAAACGCCGTTAGTTTGCGGAGGTAGAAAAGCTGGATTCATGGTGAGCTGTCTGGACATAATCTCTCTTATTCCGTAAAAATAATTCTTTGAATAGCTGAATTGAAATGAAAAGCTATAACAGGTAAAAAGCGATCATTCGACTAATAACGACAACTGAGAGATCCTGCTCTACAGCACCGGCATAAGTGGCTTGAAGTAGGTGGAGTGCGCGCGCGTGTGTATGTGTGTGTGAATAAGAAATGCGATGATAATCACCATGTGTCAAGACTGAGGCATGTGACGTCAAACAGTTGGAGGCGGGGCAAACTGGACACTTTCGCTCCACTTGCTGGATGGCAGTTCAGAGTGTGTTGCCATATCCTCGCATTGCAAATATGCTTTAGACTTTCGATATTACTAGTTTTGTGGTTTTGTTTTAGTCAACATAAAAGGTATAGCCTTGTTCATACTTAAAAAGGCTTTTAATTGAGGCTACCGAAGATATGGGAGACAATTTTTCTTCAGCAAAGCAAAATGTTTAATATTATATATACAGTGTGGGAATTATGTATTAAACATGGCACCGTTTTTCTCAGAAAACAAATTTCTAAAGGTGCCGTTGACTTGAAGTTTTCACCAGATGTTGGTAACAACCAAAGAAATACAAGAAAACAAACCTTATTAGTTTACAAATAAAGTTATATGTAATAAATGAAATCACACACACACACACACACACACACACACACACACACACACACACACACACACACACACACACACACACACACACACACACACACACACACAAACACACAAAAACCCTTAGGCTTTTGTCTCCACTGCTAAAGGGTACCTATGTGGAAATGTCACAGTAGGCCTAAAGCTGTACGAGTCGTTCACATATCATATGAGAATCAGTTCAGTTGTAGTAGACATTGTATCAGTAGTAGCAGTCAGTGTAATATCAGTAGTAGTAGACATTGTAGTAGTATCGTGGTCGTGGCTGTAGCAGTAATTGTACAGTAACTTTCTGTAGTAATAGTGGTGTAGTACTTGTGATTTATTATTATTATTATTGTTGTTGTTTGTCATTATAGTTGTCCTTTTTTTCTTTATACTGTAATTATTACCATCATTACATTGCTAGCAATTCATTATTATATGTATATATTATTATTGCGATGTAATGTCTTGGTTGTGTATTTAAAAATTGCACTTCATTCTTCTAGCTTGTGCATGCACTAGTGACATTTGTCTGTTAACCAATAGTGTTCAGCTGCGCGTCTAGCTCAGTCTTTTGGTACCCTTTTGTCGTGCTAGGTACCCTTTGGAATGGGTACCCAAAAAAGTGGTAGGGTTAACTTTTTGGTTCCTTTTGACAGCGGAAATGGCCATAAAAGCATACCGTACCACTCAGTAGAAACAGACCATTACAAGTTTTTTAGCAACCCTCTGCCTTTCGTTATTCAGTCTAACATCTACACAGGGCCGGAGCAAGCTGAACTGCCGCTCTAGGCAGAGGACAATCACGCCGCCCTCAACCTCAATTTGAAAACGAAAGTGACCGGTTATGAAAATGAAGTGCGGTGTCTCGAACCTCTTTTCCGGCGCACTATGTGCGGATATAACTGAGGACGCGCGGTTGATGAGGGAGGTGTCGCGGACACTGCACTCTTTATTCTGCCGCCCTATGCACGGATATAACTGAGGACGCGCGGGTGTCGCAGACCTCAATTCTGCCGCCCTATGCGCGGATATAACTGAGGACACGTGGGTGCTGATAGAGGTGTCGCTGACGCCGCCCTCTCTATTCTGTCGTCTATGCGCAAATATATCTGAGGACGCAGGTGGTAAGGGAGGTGTCGCGGACATAACTGAGGACGCGGGTGGTAAGGGAGGTGTCGCGGACGCCGCCCACTCTATACTGCCGCCTAGGTCGCCTCTATAGACGCGCCGGCCCTGCATCTACATTATCAAGATGATGAAGATGAACCAGGGTGGACATTTCAGCAAGACAATGATCCAAAACACAGCCAAGAAAACTCTCAACTGCTCTCAGAGAAAGTGAGAAATAAGACATAGAATAGCCCAGCCAATCACCTAATTTGAATCCAATAGAAAATACAAAATAAAGATCACATTGGATAGATAAGACCCCCAGAACCATCAAGATTTTTACACTGAAGTCTGTGAAAAAAAAAAATCACACCTGAGCAATGCATGTGACTTCATTTTATATACGAGAGTCATTCATTCATTTATTCATTCATTTTCTTTTCGGCTTAGTCCCTTAATTATTCCAGGGTTGCCAAAGCGAAATAAACAGCCAACTTTTCCAGCTCACGTTTTACACAGCGGATGCCCTTCCAGCTGCAACCCATCTCTGGGAAACATCTATACACACTCATTCACACTCATACACTACAGACAATTTAGCCAACCCAATTCACCTGCACCACATGTCTTTGGACTTGTGGGGGAAACCGGAACACCCAGAGGAAACTACAGCGAATGCAGGGAGTACGAGAGTCATCTTTAAGCTTATTTTTTAGATGTGCAAACATACCCTTAGACTTTGTTTACTTGCTGTCATCCATAATTATAATGAGATAGATTATAGGTCAAAACCTAATATATAAACAGAGTGCTGAATGACTGGTGAATGGTGGATGGTGGATGTGTTTACCCAGCAAGCAAGTCTTACAAATACCTTAGACCAGTGGCTCTCAAACTTTTTTCATCAAGTACCACTTCATAAAAAAATTGTCTCTCCACGTACCACTAAAATGAGCAGTATTGAAATACAGTAGCTTAGTAGGCCCAGTAAAGCAGCTACAACTCTGCACAGTTTAAAAAACGTGGCAGATTACCTCAGAAATATAGGCTATATGTCATATGGCATATTATATACATAATTTTTGATAAATTTTGAAATGTGTGTAGCATGTACAAAAAATATTTCATTCTTCCGCGTACCACTAGAAGGAAGCCTGCGTACCACTAGTGGTACACGTACCACAGTTTGAGAACCACTGCCTTAGACTGAATTTTACCAGTTTTGACGTAGTTCTTTCTGAATTGTAGTTGTTTTGTATACACACTGACACACAAACAATAACAGGCTAGTTATTAAACTACTGTTTAAATATTTTTTTAAATGTTAAGTGCTTAAGTTTGACTAACTTGCTTACATTTATTGAGAGATCTGGCAACACAACAGAGGGTGATGTTTTGCGTTCTGTGAGTAGGCTAGAGTTTGTGCAAGTTCGAAATATGAATATCCATTGAATATCTATTAAGGTTCTATTATTCACCAGCGTACAAAATTCCGAAGCCCGAATCCCAATATCTGGCACTGAAAGGGAAGTTTCCCTCACATGTACACACATGCGGTGGAAAAATCAAATGCTCACAGTCAAATAAAGAGGCGTGGTTTAGTTCGAACTGCACTGCTCCTCTGCTTCTGAATCTACGAGTAGGCTAAGCAAAAACAGAGAGTATTATTATTAGAGAGTATTATACATACATTTTATTGATTTATGTCTGTGCTTCAGACTTTGATATATTTTTTTCATTCTTGTCTACTTTATATGAGTTTACAAAGTTAGCAAACACATTACTTCTTTAATAAGAATGTCACATTTTATCAATACAAATGTGTCTAAATGTCTTAGTATTAGATATAGGCTAGTTGTAATTGTCAGCTTTATTCACATAGTTATTTTCACATTGTATTGATAGAATTTAGTCTAAATGGCTCTAATATATTCTCAGCATTAAGCAGATGTAAGCGTGCTGCAGTATTATTCATAAATTATGTTCTTAAATAATCTGGCTTTGCATTAACATACCAAGTTAGCAAACATATACTTTTGTAATAAGCAAAGGCAAATGTATTCGAGATGTTTTTACATTTCATTGATTAAAAACGTGCATGTGACATATTTAATTGCTTTACATTAACACAGAAAGTTAGCAAACACACATTGTTTTGTAATAAGTGATTAACAAATGTAGTTAGAGAGTATCGAACACACAGAGTGGTATAAATGTGTTTGCACCAGCTTTTAAGGTATTTTCACATTTGTCCTTTTTCTTCCAAGGCTAAATGCACAGTCTTACCAACCTCCTCTCAGTAGAAAACCTAACTATATGCAAACTATAGGCATATAGGCAAACTATTTACTACATAGGCAAAAAGTGTCCAATTTGTATACATTAAGGATGAGCGAAATGCAATAGTATCTGATGACACTAAATCATTCATTTTCTTGTCAGCTTAGTCCCTTTATTAATAAGGGGTCGCCACAGCGGCATGAACCGCTGCGGATGCCCATCTCTAGTAAATATCCACACACACACACACTACGGACAATTTAGCCTACCCAATTCACCTGTACCACATGTCTTTGGACTGTGGGAGAAACCAGAGCACCAGGAGGAAACCTACGCGAACGCAGGGAGAACATGCAAACTCCACACAGAAACTGAGCCGAGGCTCAAACCAGCGACCCAGCTACTTTCTTGCTGTGAGGCAACAGCACTACCCAATGCACCACTGCTTCGCCGACTACATTAAATCAAAGTTATGAATTGCTGTTACTCAAAAGTAAATACAGATAAAAATGCGCAAGCCACATATTTAATAAATTATTATATTTCATTCTCAACATTAGTTTACAAAACCACTTGCTGCATTAACTACAAAACTGTTATTGTTCAAACATTTAATTATGCGATTAATTCATACCTTGATTTCTTCAGGTTAAGCTGGATTTGGAGATCATTGTATTCCTGCTGAAAAAAAGAAACATAAATATTCAAAGACACTCTGATTTTTTGCACTACAAGTAGGCCACCATTCAAATGTTACGAACCAAAAACAAAGCGTAACATTACATTTACTTTTAGTTATTTAGCAGATGCTTTTGTCCAAAGCAACTTACATCTGAGGAGGCATTCAGCGATTCAACAAGAAATGCTAATTATACAAAGGAACTGTTACTGTCATACCTACTTAGCAGGCATGAGCCGGTAAAAGATTCTGACAGTATGATAAGCTTGGATGAAGACTTCACTGTTTCAAGGTATGGTGACTACTGCTTTAAAATATATCTTTTTAAATGTCTGGGTTAAACGCCAATTTTTTTTTTTTCCTTTTGGACACAATATTTTTTTTTTTTGAGAAATATTTAAAATATTTTGGAAAAGTAAATATGTCAGGATAAATGAGTTATTGACTCCTGCTGTCTTCATTTGTTTCAAAAAC